GCGGAACCATGAGCACAACAGGCCAGGGTCACGGCATGTTGTGGGGGCTTCAGCGAACCAGGCTGTTTTGGAAGCTGTTTCAGTAGCCGGCCACAGAAAACTGAGGGCTCGGAGCAAGGCAGTGGCCGTGGAGAAGAATTTGAGACTCTGGTGTTAGAGTCGGGAATCCGCCGTGTCCCCTCTGGTGGCTGTACAGTCACGGGGTTCGGTGGGAGAAGGGTGAGGCTCCGGCGGGGCCCTGCGGACTCTCCCAGGGGAGAAGTGGACCTGCTACTTGGATGCACGGTTCTAGAACGCAAGAAAGGTTCTAAGCAAGGCTCTCAGAGAGACTGGGGAGCCGCTGGCATTGAGGTGGAGGAGACTGTCCCCAGGTGGAGGGCAGGGAGGTAAGAGAAGGCTGAGGGAGGCAGTCTGGAGGCAGCTGCATGTAAAGAGCCAGAGAAGGAGGCTGAGAGACAGAAATTCCAGCCCGAGGAGAACTGGAGGGCGGGGTCCAGAAAGGACAAAAATGGCTCAGGAAAGAAGCGAACCATCAGCAATGCCAAATGCTGCCCAGAGGTCAAGTAAGATGGCAGCCTGTGGTCAGTCAGTCACCAGTGGCCTTAGCAGGGGCAGGCTCAGCCCCCCGGGTGGAGACAGAAGGCAGGTTGCAGGGGTCAGAGAGCAGAGGAATAGTCTGGAGAGCCCCCTGCTGGGGGAGGGCTGACTGGAAATGGAGCTCGGCCGACTGAGCCAGCATCTCAGCTCTTGGGTGCCAGTCACCAAGCTGGCTCTCTCATCCGCCATCCAGATAAGAGGTAGAAGTGGTGGAGAAAGCGCACAGACCCTGTCCTGGAGGAGGTATTGTCCCGTGGGGACGCTGGTGGGAAATATATTCCATTACCGTGTGGCGTTGCCGCCCGCCGTGACACGGCCACACTCACGGCACTTGAGCCCCAGCCCGGCCACCAGCTCCCTGTCCGCTCCGTCGAGCCCCTCTGTGGCCCGAGGGCCTGTGTGCGCTGAGTGAGCGCTCGGAGGGGACTGCCAGGCGCCGTGGCAAGGCGGACACGGGGGTGAGGGGCAGGACCGACTCCCACGGTGAGCAGGCATTCTTCTCCTCGCTCAGTGTGAACGGCTGGAAAAAGAAAGTTAAAGCAGAAATTGGGCATCGTGCCAGGATTTAATGAAATCTTATTTGGGAACTATCGGAGAGTTTTACTCTTATCACTAATTAAAGGGTGCCATTTATCATCTTTCCAATAGGAAATTTTATATTTGTGGAGAAAGTAAATGTGTAACTCACTTTTCTTGCTACTTAAGTTTTGTTTTTATTTTAAGCTTATTTACTTAGAGAGAGAAAGGGGGAGGGAAGAACAGAAAAAGGGAGAATCCCAAGCAGGCTCCTCACTGTCCACGCAGAGCCTCTCATGGGGCTCAAACTCACGTACCATGAGATCATAACCTGAGTTGAAGTCGGACGCTCAACCAACTGAGCCACCCTGGCACCCCAATTGTTGCTTAAGTTCTTAAATAAACATCTTTTTAATTGAGGAATGGAAATACATCTATGAACATCTACTGAAGAGTGTGGTATAAAAAACGATCTCAGGGCAGTCACTCACATCAAGTAAGAGCCACTACCAGCCCCCAGGACCCCCTTATGCCCGGATTATGGATACCCTCGTTAAGGGATATGTTTTATCTACTATCCAAATGGTGGCAGAAGTGACTTTGTAAACATTATGGAGCCTTCTACTAAAGTATCAGGAGGTTGAGGAAATTGGTTCGCGTGTCGGGTGTAAGAGCAAACATTTCACTACATAGTGATGACACCGTTTAGGACTCAGGTGTAGCTCGTGTCACCAAAGTTGGTAAAGGATGTCACCAAAATTGAGGAAACATTACCTCCAGATTCCAGATTCTTAGCTCAAGTGATTGTGTTTGTTTTATCCTTTCATTCACATCCACGTATTTATTTAAAACATGTAAGATACTCCATGTGTTGAATAAGCAGATGTAGAAAAAAACTCAACAGTTCAAAATGGCCCAGCCACTGTCATCTGGGGTGATACTCATTTTTAAATCTGTTAACCCTCTAGTGTTGTAAACATCACGAGCAGTTAAGGATTGTAGGTCAGGAGAGAACTGTCTCACTCTGTCTGCTATTCCATTGCCTTCGGGGAGGGTCACACCCCCTCCCCCACACCGTCCATCCCGGCTACCCTGGGGGGCACTCTTGTGAATTCACCCTGACTTTGGCAAGGTAGGTCGTCCGAGGGATGGGCTGTCTCATTGTCTTAGCAAGCAGTGGGCACTCTAGCTTTGTGCACCTGAACGACTCACCTAGCAAAGTGTCGAAGTGAGCCACACAGAGACATTACCCCTCAGGTCTCTTGCTTGGGACATTCAAGTAATAGAAGCAGTTAACTGTAGGGTAGACTCAGCTTTTCACTATGGAGGGGAGGCCAGCCCCCTTTCCCTCCTGCTGTTCTTCTGAGTCACCTGCCTTCATTGTTCAGTATTAAGTTTTTCCCTCTTTCTAAGGGTTTTCCTAGGCTCTGAAGCAGCCTATATGCTTCAGAACGAAATATTCGTAAATCATTTCCTCTTGCTATTTGTTTACAGAGGCAGGAAGGACATGAAAATTACGGGTAAATGGGAAAATAGGACAAAATGAATAAAAGTTCTAGTACACGGGAAAAGAGATGCTACGGTTCTTAGAAGTTGTAGCTTCAGTTTGTGTAATTAATGTGGTAGAATGACAATTAAATGGACAGGAGAATTGTAGTACCTTCTGTGTGGGTCTTGCCTCGTACAGCCGTCTGGCACTTGGGGACAAGCCTCATCATAGAAATGTCCTCTTTGGCCATGAGCTCCAGCCTCCAAGCAGAAGAGCGAGAACGCTCATTTGCACTTGGATTTTCATAAAATCCAAGGGTTTTATAACATCTTCAATGTGTCTTTGAAAGCTTCTCAGGTCTCCCCTTAGCGCAGAAATCATCTAGAGAAACTGTCTACCGAGCTCTCCCAAGAGCCCAGCACTGTTTCCTGCTGCCTGTGTGTTCGTCTCTGCCAGCTGTAAAGTTCAAGTGTGCGTGGGCCCCCGGCTGGACCGCGGCTCTGAGGCTGGTAATATAACGAGAGTGCATCAGCGTTGACAGTCAAACCCTTAAGCCCTTCCGCCCCCTCCCCCTCAAAAAGAGAAGGATGAGGGATGCCTGGGGGGCTCAGTCGGTTAAGCGTCCGACTTCAGTTCAGGTCATGATCTCATGGTTTGTGGGTTTGAGCCCCGCTTCGGGCTGTGTGCTGACAGCTCAGAGCCTGGAGCCTGCTTCAGAGTCTGTGTCTCCCTCTCTCTCTGCCCCTTTCCCGCTCATGTTCTGCCTCTCTCTCTCTCTCTCAGAAATAAATTTAAAACATTAAAAAATTTAAAAAAAGAAAAAGAGAGAAGGATGTTAGCAATCCCCCAAACAGTCATGATTTCAAGTCCGCTTTCTTTTGGTCTCTGGAATTTTATCTTGCCCGAATGGTGCGTGTTCTGCAGCGGTTGGAATCTGAGCTTAGATTTTATTTTTGAGTTCACATAATGATTTTTAAAATGTTCTAATATATGTCTTCAAAGACCCCCAGATCAATACGCCAATGGTTTTGAAATGACGGAATGCTGCGATATTCCTCTGTAATTTAAACATGATTAGCTGATGAAGGTTATGATCAATACGCCTCGGGAAGATAAATTAATTGATATCATCCTTTCAGGATAAGAGGCCTCTTGGAGGTGGGCTGTAATTAATAAAGCTGCTGCTTCATCTCCGAGACCATTTTTTATATCCCGCACTTTCACGTAATCATATTTACACGGCCATTCATTTCCATGAGAGCTGTGAGCGCTGGACAAACCAGTTCCTTATTAAAATGTTGTTCGTTTGGAAGAGAAACCGTCTGTGGCTACTCCATGTGCTCCTCCCGCGTTAGAACCCATCCCTAGGGACGAGGGCCATGTTCCTTTGCACGGGTGTCTCTAAAAATAACCATCCTCTGGCCCAAGACAAGGATTGAAAACCATTGAACTCCATTACAGCCAGTCCCCAAAGACACCCATCTATTCAAACAAAGGCTATAGTTATTCTGGACTGACACCTATTGGTGTGGGAAGAGTTTTCTTATTGTCGACTTCCTTTCCAATTAAACCCGGCATGCTTTATCAGCGAGCCTATTTGCCAAGAGACTCCATGGCTGGTTGAATCTAGATTTGTATTGATTAAGATAAACTTCCAATGTGTGAGGTGATGTATTTAAATAAAGTCTTTGATATAATTACATGTCCTCGGATGTGATTCTGTGCAGTAGCTTATAAAGTTAAGGGTAATTCTTTAGGCTGCGTGAAAAAAAAAAAATGGTTTTTTGATTCTCAAGGTGGGAGGGGGTTCGTTACATGATCCTGTCTTTCTTAGCATCGTTTTTGCTGAGAGTAGCTGGAAGAAGTCACGTTAGAATAAGTTGAACAGGACAGGTGTGTATTTTTGTTGGTTTCGTTTTAACGTTCAAGGCTTCTGAGGTGGTGTGTTCAGGGCTGTCGAGGCCTTCGGTGTAGCCAGAGGGCCAGCTCGTCCTGTGTCCCATCACGTGTGGCTTCTGTCCCCAACGTGGCCGCGGGGGCTACAGGTGCTCACACACGTGCAGTTTCAGCAGCAAGAAGGGAAAAGACACAAGGAAAAAATGGGCCAAGGGCAGCCCTCAGGGAAGACTCCCGAAAGCTGCCACATGACCCTTCAGCCGTCACCCCACCGGCCAGCGTTTGCTCGTCTGGCCGCCCTTAGTCGGGGTGGGGGGGGCGGTGGGCGGGACAGAAAGGAGGACGCTCTGGGGGATGGGCTGTTCGTGCTGGTGGTCGTGGCCCAGAACCAGGAAGCCGGCTACTGCAGAGGGAGGCAGCGGTGCCCTGCGGGCCCAGCCGGTGATCTCTGCCGGTTGGGAAGCCAGCCTCACGTTGATCTCTTGTGTCTCCCAACCCCTAGTTGCCCAGAAGATCGTGGCCACGAGGAAGAAGCAGCAGCTGTCCATAGGGCCCTGCAAGTCGCTGCCCAACTCCCCAAGCCACTCGTCTGTCTGTTCTGCACAGGTGTCCGCCGTGCACATAAGCCAGGTACGCCGAGGTGGGTGGGGGGGGGAGGCGCATCCGGACCGAGGGGCGCGTCGAGGTCCCTAGAGCGCGCTCAGCCAGCTCCGAGGCGGATTCCTTTCTTTCTTTCTTTTTTTCGTTTCAACTTTATGAATAACAGCATGTTGGTAATTGACTTAGCATTACCTTCGGAAACCGCTGTGGCCAAGCGGATTTTATGGGGATCATTCTTTAGCATTTCCTGTCTTCACGCTGCCTGTGTTATGAGGCCTGCTGGCTTGGCCAGAGACCCGAGGTGTGCAGGCGCACCGCTGTCTTCACTGTTGATTTAAGTTACCCTGCGTGGGCCCTGGTTCTGGTGCGCTTTTGGGTTGAACAGTTGTGGGTAAATCTCAGCGGCTAACCCCACTCCTGCGTGCTCACATTTGGTCACAGCCCTCTGTTGTAATCGCCGTCGCCCTTGGGCCCGCTAGATGCCATTCTCTCTCCATGGTAACATTTTAGCAAATTATTTACTTGGAAGCGAACAAGATAATGGTCAGTTCGAAGAACCAGCCCCACAGCCGGCTAAGGAAACCATGCACCCGGGTTTGCCTGCGCATGTGGTTCCGATGGACATTTCTTGGGCGGGTGTTGTATTGGCCCCGTCTGCAGTGTGAGGGTCTGGTGTGGCGCTTTCGGTTCCCCTGGGGGGTCAGGAAGTAACTGCATTTACGGGAGGAGCCTGTGGAGTCCAGGATATTGAAGGCTCCGGTGTACGCCTCTGTCATCTTCTGCACATCTTCAAACGTCTTCCCCAAGTATTCAGATTTTCAGAGTGTGCGTTGTGCTCTGTTGAGCAAAACCATGCTCTTCCGGCGTCTGATCTAGAGCTGCCAAGGAGCCATAGGGCCTATCATTTCAGCCACACCCTTCATTTTTCAGAGGAAGTAGAAAATAATTACATTTTAACTCCCCCCGCCCCCCACCATTTTTTAAAAAATATTTTTATTTATTTCTAGGAGAGAGAGAGAGACAGCGTGAGCAGGGGAGGGTCAGAGAGAGAGGGAGACACAGATTCTGAATTAGTCTCCAGACTCTGAGCTGGCTGTCAGCACAGAGCCCGACGCGGGGCTCGAACCCACGAACCGCGAGATCATGACCTGAGCGAAAGTCGGACGCTTAACCGACTAAGCCACCCAGGCGCCCCCCCCCCACCATTTTTAACTAAATGACAGAGACTTCTCTTTCTTAAGTCACTTATCTTAGAAAAAGTAACTTCCTGATATGATTGGGATGTTCTAGAGTTAGGGCGTGTTCTACTTGATGCCGGTCAACTCGCCACGTCCGAGAAGCTATCTGACCCATCACGTGGGCGTCTCTCCAGCGCGATGCGCTGACCTGTCGCCTCTGACCCCGCAGAGGTGGTGCATTGGGCCCTGGAGTGTTCCGTTAATAAAACCCTGGTGTTTCCCTGTTTCAGACGAGCAACGGAGGCGGGAGCTTAAGCGACTATTCCTCCTCTGTCCCGTCGACACCCAGCACCAGCCAGAAGGAGCTTCGAATCGACGTCCCTCCCACAGCCAACACGCCCACACCCGTCCGGAAGCAGTCCAAGCGCCGGTCCAACCTTTTCACCGTGAGTGTCGTCCCCGGGAGGGGATTGGAGGGTGACCCCCCACAACGTCAGCTCCTGTCCACGTACTGTAGTGTTACTTGTAGAATCCACACGAAGTTGGGGCGAGGAGCACTGATTTCTGTGGAAGACTAAGGAAATGATGCCCAGCAAAGGTTGGGGTACTGAGTCAGATGTGAATATCTCGGGGCGCAGGGAAGAGTGAGGGGTTGTGTGAAGTATTGATTATCTTGTGATTGTCTCCATCTCAGAGAGAGACTGGTCACATTGGAAAGACAAGGTGACTTGTGCCCAGAAGTCCCAGACAGGTGCCCCTGACCTGCACGTGAAATACACAAGCCATTGGGATGCACAGACCCCCCCCCTTCTTCTCGGGCTGTAGCGCCTGAGAGCCTACCCCTGGGGGTGGCTCTCGGCACCAGGAGCCTTCAGTGTTTTGAGAGGCTCGTTGACGTGAGGCTCTCCTCTCGGACTTTTCTTCAGAGTCATTCACGGAGCCTTTAAAAATTGTAGATTGGCTATCTGGGCTTAGATTTATGAACTCAGACCCTGTACGTGGGCCCCAGGCACGTGTTGTTTTTAGAAGCTCCCTGGACGCTTGGGACGCAGAGAACCCCTGAGCTGGCGAGGAGGCAACGGCACTACGACCGCGTCCCTTCCCTCGCAGACGGCAGACATTACCAGTCAGTCGTGAAAGGCTCTGCAGTTGAGCCCAGAACTCCAGGCAGAACCACTGTCCTGTGACTGGAGTCGTTTGACTTGAGAAGAACGTGTTTTTTTTTTCCTTGGGACCAGGTCTGTGCATTACAGATATATGCTTTTGTTTTGTTTTGTTTTATTATATTATATTATATTTTTTAAATGATTATTTTTGAGAGAAAGACAGAGTGCAAAGAGGGGGAGGGGCAGAGAGAGAGAGAGAGACACAGAATCTGAAGCAGCTCCCAGCTCTGAGCTGTCAGCATGGAGCCCAACGTGAAGCTCGAACTCACAAATCGTGAGATCATGACCTGAGCCCAAGTCGGACGCTTCACCGACTGAGCCACCCAGGCTCCCTACAAGTATATGCTTTTAAAGTTCCTGGGGACGTTTGGCAGTTTCTAGGAAACTATGAGTTGTCAGAACTGGGAGCCAGTTGGGTCATTGGTGGCACCCGGGGTTGCTGCTAAATATCCGACAAGCACATGGCAGCCCTACACCAGGTTGTCCCCTCTGCAGGGGTGGCTGGGGTCCCTGCTCACCTGCTGCCCTTATTTAGACATGGCGTTCTGGTGTCGCCTGCGGGTACCAAGCACGGGACACCCCCACGCCTTCCCTACCACAGTCGAGGTGGCTTTCCCACCGGACGGCCATGACCGCCAAGGTCGGCTGCCGATGGCCCCTCCCCTTTCCTGTGCCCGATTGCCCTGTACCGTGTCGGTTCCGGTGGACATTGCTGGGGGGGCGGGGGGGGATTGGGGAGGGGGCACGGAGCAAGGACCAGACAGACCAGACTCAGAGCCCAGCCTCCACTACCAGTAGCTGTTCCACCTTGGCAAGCTGCTTAGCCTCTCTGAACTGCATACCACAGCGTTCTCGGTGGAGGGGATGCTAGAAGGATGCTCCCTGGGGCAAAGCGTCTTCGTGGCCTGGCTTTCATTTTTCTCTCCATACAGTGGCAGGTATAAAAAGGATTTCGGACTGCGCTCAGCAAAAGCCGTACAGGGTCAGGTGACAGCCTGGGGGCGAGGTGTTTAGCTTTCTACAGAACGCACGTGAATGTCTGGTTTGGTTAAATTTGTTCATGGCGTTGGAGGCCTTACAGTGAAATTACACCCAGAGTAATAGCAGCTCCCAGCGGGGCCCGACACCGGGAGCCCCGTGCACGCCAGGCCAGGTTGGAGAGGTATCACCCACAGACAGGCTGCGTGCACCCACAGACTTGGGGAAACCAGCTGCGGAAGGTGCAGGGAGGGATGGCGGTCAGCGGGTCTGGGAGTAGGGCTTCGAACAGGGACCAGGAAGGTCTCTGCATCCTGGCCCCACCTGTTAGGGCCCAGCAGGAAGAAAGGACACCATGCCTTCCTTACCAGTCATTGGCTTTGGTTTCTATTCTAAGGAAAGAGGTGAGAAGCCAGGAAGTACCTTTAAAAATGGGGCTGTTTATAAGGAGAGCTGTGGCAGATCCTCATTCCTGTCCCTTATGAGGCTGGCTCTGGAACTGGAATGTTCCAGAAAAATCTTACCCCTGGCCCTGCCCTCTAGGCAAACTGTGATGACCCCAGTCGCTTACAAAGGAGAAATCTTTAAGGCAGGACGCTTCCATATAATAGTAACTCAGTAAATACGTCCTTCCCCTCTGCTGTCTGCAGAGGCCAGATTTCCTATCTGTCAGGACAAGTTCTTGCCAGAGTCAGTCCGCATTCAAGAGAAGGTGTTCTGGAGACTATAGGGCCGAGAGGAGAGCAGAGAGGCGAGGAGACGGGGCCACTGTCCTGCTTATCTGGGCCGTGCACAGGTGTGCGCATCCGAGAGGAGCCCGGGGGCCCCCAGCCGTCCCGGCCAGGCAGGGAAGGTGCCGGACCCAGCGAAAACTCCTCCTTGGGGCTACTGAGCGTCCCTGTTAATCGTGCCACGATCGGTGGACCTAATGACGCGAATGCCTGCCCGTGAACCTGTGCATCATTCCTTCCTCGTCTCCTTCTCGTTCAGTGTTGGAAACCAGTTTGAGAGTAAACCATTTCAGAAATGGAGTCTCTTCTTAGCGGGAAGAGAAACGTGGGGCAATGAAAGAAGCCGGCACCATGGTGGGTTTGCATCATGGTGTTTAGGGAAAGAGGCTTCAGTCCTCAGGCGGGAGCCAAATGTTGGTCGTCACCGGGTTCGACGTTGAACGAAACGGTGGTGGCGGCGGCGGTGGTCATGGTGACGTGTGCGTATGTTTAAGTTAAAGACCTTAGAAATATTAACTCCACTAGATGTCAGTGTCATCCAAGGAATGAGAAGCGGCAAATTAATTTTGGAATGGTAGCAATTAGGAAACTAAATCCTCATTATTAGCACGCACCTATTTTTAAACACGTAACATTCACAGACTCCATCCCTGGCAGTTGTTGGTAATTATTGGCTTAAAGTGGCAAAGCGTGTGTTTATTTAAAAGCCTCTAGTAGGAGGACAGATGTGCCATGTGCCGAACATCGTAGTGAGTAAAACCCCCTGCAGCCTGGAGCTGTAACACCCGGGTGAAGGGGCACTCACCACCTTATTTAGTAGAGTGTCGTAAAGAGGCCAGACTGAATTAAGTAGTACACACATCATTTTTCAAATCCCATGCTTATAAATTTTACAAAGTAGACCTGTAACAAGCATACCAACCACTCTGGACTCTCGTTTTCCGGCCACAGATGTTTGGTTGCGTACACATGCATTTTTTAGACAGAAATGACATGCGCTCTAGAATAAACCAGCATAAACACTAACTGGAATAAACTCAGAATCTCTCCAGTAGTCGCCAGTTTATGTTAAATTTGCCGTAGGAATCCATCAGAAGCTAAATTCTATCTTATTTTGCTTACTGCTTTCGAAAGAAATCTTTTTTTTTTTTTTTTGAGAAAAGAATATTAAAAGGGTACATCCATTCAGTTTCTGGTTTCCTAACATGGGTTCTCAGGACACTTAATTTAGCGTGGCCGCCCTAAAGTACACGTGGTTAAGACGGTATATGAGAAAATATTTTCACACGGAGGAATAGGAAGCACGTGCACACACTTACCACACAGCTCATCAGACACAAGCATTTTTCCGCCACCGCCGCCAATAAAGAAATAACACATCTTGGGTGAAAGGTGAAGCCCTCCAAGTGTGCGTCCTGAGCACAGCCCCACCCAACCCCCTGTCTCCGTGTCTGAGGATCCACGTGACCTTGAATTTGCTGTTTATTGTCTGTATCCACATCTTAAACTGAGTCAAGCATGTGTCTTGACTTAGCACCTCTGGGCACTGCCCTGCCTCTTTTCAGATTTTAAAATAACCGCTCACTGACAGGGTCCTTTCAAAAGCTCACCCCACCACGCCGGTCCCGTTAAAACAGAGCCAAGCATACCCAGTGACCGCATTGTGGAAAGATTCCAAAAACCTCGCAGTAAGAATAGGCAGCAAGGTGCATGGTGTGAATACACGTGTGTGTCGTGTGTGTAGTGGAGGAGAGCGTGGGTCTGTCCCCGGGTGGCCAGCAGCCTCCGCGTGGCGATGGGCTGCAGGGGACATGCAGGCTTCTGCTGGGCGGCGACGGCTCTTGCAGAGATGCTTCCCGTCCCCGCACGCAGGTGGTTGGTGGGGGGTCCCCTCCGTGGCATCTTATGTCACGTGGGAAAAGGTAAACGTTTTTGCAAAGAAGGAGGCCACCTCAGCCTCCCTTTTCTCCGTGTTTGGCATCGGCAACAGTGGAGGTCTCTCTCTGCCCCCCCCGCAAAACCGTGGGAGGGTGGCCAGCCCTTGTTAGCCCCCAGGTGTGGGCGGCTGGCTGGTCCTGTCGCACGGTCGCTCCTGACATGTGCAGCTGGTGCCCAGAGCCGCTCTGCTCGAGGATGTCCCGGAGCCGTGTCAGCGCGAGCACAAGGGTGCGCTGCTGGGGATGTCGTCCCCGGGTGGCGGATGAGTTGGGGAACTCACTGCGGATCGGCGTGTGTTCGTGCCCAGGGGGTCCGTGCTATCGGTGGGACTGCAGCCCGCTGGGGGACAGCAGTCGTGGGACTGGGGGACCCTGTCCCTGAAATGCCCGTGTCCCGGCTCTCTCCGCCAGACCCTTAGAGCCATCAGGGACTCTGTGGCATTTTGGCGGCAAAGTCTTACTGACTTTCAAGGCCCCTCACCCCCGAGCGTGCGATCAGGCACTGAGTCTGTTTCTCCAGGATCCTGCCTCTGCGGGATCTGGAAGTCTCCTGCTTGGAGACAGAGGGACTGTGGGGACAGATGTGCTGCCTTGAGGAAGACGTTCATTTTTTTTTATGTTTGTTTTGTTAATTATTCTGGTTAATAGAGAATAATGAAGGCGGATTTTCAAATTGGGACGTTTGGAATTCATCAAATTCCAAAAGCTCCATTAATGATCTCTGCAGGTTAAAAAAAAATTTTTTTAAATATTATTCCTGGGAGCTTTGAATCTTATTTTACAAATAGAAACCTCGAGTTCTAACTTGCCTGTGCATTCAGATATGGCAAAAGGAGAATTTAGGGCTATTTCATAGCTGTAACTGTACATTATTAATTAAAGAATTAATTAAAGAGAAAAGTGAGCCCTTACCCTGTGGCTAAAATTCATGACAAGGAATTGATTAAGTATCTCCCATTGCCTCTTAGCCCAAACGGACAAACTTTGTTTTACATTTTTCTACAACTTTCTATTTGCTGCATGTTTCATTTCTGGTTACCCCATTCCAGGCTGCTAGCCTCCTAAAGAAAAGAGGTGCGCGGTGCCTGGCACATAGTAGGTGTTCAGGAAACATCGGCTCTTCCGCTCAACAAAGTGGCATCTTTCGTAACGAGCACACATGCTCTCTGAAGTGCCGCATCTGAGTTTATGCCACAGGGACGTCTTTCTGTCATACCCCATGATGTTGCCCCTTTTAATATTAAAAAAAAAAAAAAATCAGCTGCCCTGTCTTACACCCTTTGAAACTGGATTCCATTAGCGTTTCATTGCTGCACCGGACACCACAAAGTCTCTCTGTTTCATATATCATCTCCGATTTGAAAAGCACACGAAAATGTTTCTCCATTTTCAATATTGCGTGAGTAATGTTCCCATTGAAAAGTAATGGAGTGAAGTTGTCACTTGTCAGCACAGTTATTAAGGAGGACGAGTTTCAGATCTTTCTCTCATAATAAAATAAATCTGTCAGAAAATCATTGTGCTCACGCTCTCTCATGCCATCGAGAGCCGGAGCCGGAGCCGCGGCGTGCCTTCCACTCGCCGAAGTCACCGTGTGCGTGGGGTGGTAGCTTCCCTGGGTGGCACGCGTCCGCCCTCCCTGCTGGCCGCGCCCTCCCGAGGCCGTTCACAGAACGTCAGCGGCTCCACCGACGAGACTGTTCAACCACCTAAGCTGCTCGTTTTTCCCCAAGGGCTGATATTTTGCCGAAAAAGATATTTTCAACTTTTGCCCCCATTGCTGTGTTTTGTGGGGTGGCACACCGGTTTGACTTTGAAGGGTGTTGCTTTCTAACCATCCGGGAGCCATTATAAAAAAATTACAAGAAAACAACAACAACATTAACGGCACCTTGATGCGAAAGAAGGCCGTACTGTTAAATCGCTCAGCTCCGTCGTTAGCAGAATTTAAACATCCCTCAGACATCTGTTAAATATGTACATTTATGTGGTAGGTTTCCCAACCAAGCCACAAGGAAGGAGGCCTTTCCTCCTCGGCTGGGTTAACTGCAGCCTCAGAATGTGTTTTCTTGTTGGGTGTTACTTCCCTGTATGGTCCATTGGTTTCCAGTAATTGAATTTTGAACTCTTTAAAAAAGAATTAAAAGATAATTCTGCGGTGGGAAAGTAGGGAGAAAAGTTGAGAAAATTCTCTGTAAAAAGACGGATCAGTGGAAATCCAAAGCCCGAAACGGTCTGCTTCCCGGGCGTGTATGCGTCCATGCGTACACCATCCGTGCCTTCTCCATATGGGCGTGCAGAAACTATTCAAATAAGGGCAGACCCACGGATCCGTGAACCACAGCCCTTACCCAAACGCTAACTTTATTTTTGCTTTGCAGTCTCGGAAAGGGAGTGACCCAGACAAAGAGAAGAAAGGCCTGGAGGGCCGAGCAGACAGCATCGGGAGCGGTCGAGCCATCCCAATTAAACAGGTACGCCGCTTCCCCCTTTCTTCCCTCCCTGGCGCTGGACACACCTCGGGTTTCTCCTTGCTATGATGCTGGCTCGTGCACCAAGGTTTGTTTGATGTGTTCTGTTGATGAATGTAGAAGTCACTCACTTGACATCAATTAGAAGAGGTTCCTGTGTGTATTAAAATAGGATCATTAGAATAAGAAGAGGGAAAATGTGACAACAGATCTAATGAAGTACAGTCTGCCCGCTGCATATGGAGTGTGTTTCGAGGCTGAGCTGGCTTCAAAGGCTGCCTTTGTAGCTCGGCTTTGATTGGGCCGCTGGCCGCCAGTCGACAGGGGTAAATCAGATCGCTGTACAAGAGCCCCTTGTGATCACAGGAATAGCCGATGTGGCCCTAATTTGCTCTCGCAGACGGACATCTGAACACTGTTTCAGGCTGGTTTGTAACAACGAGGCAATTAGTTGTGATAATCATGGCCGGTGTGTCAGCTGCGCGCTCCTGTTTGTAATTTGCTAATGAAGGAATTGTAACTTTGATTAGGTTCAGTTTCATTTAGACCTTATTATATAAAGGAACATTTACAGCTGTAATGTGGGGCCTTAATTAAACTTCCTCATTACACAACAGGACTTGAATTCAAGCATTTGTTTTGGCCTATGTTGCTAGCCTGAAATAGGTTTTCATTAGCCCAGAAACCAGGCACCAAATCACTTCGCGTCTCAAGTAAAATGGGGATTCACGTGACCTACTTTGCTATTATGTTTCCAAGGAAAATAAAAATAAAGACTTCGACCCAGCACTGTGGCTCCTGGAAACAGCATCTTTTACTTTGTGAAAGAAGTCCAATTGATCGAGAGTGCATTCTGCTTGGGGGGGGGGCGGAAATCCTTGGGCAGAATAATGACTCTGCCTCTTAAGAACACGGCTGTGACCAATTTGTCCCTCTGGGTGATGGCTCTCGGTCGGCTTCTACCTCGGACACCGATTCCGTTTCCCAAAGCCTTCTGCAGCCCGGCCTGGCCCCGGCCGCCCTCACAAAGAGCTAGAGTCTGTGCACAAACACAGTGCATTCGGGAGTGCAGCGATAGGGACCAGGCGGGTTCGATGTGGATGCTCGGGAACAGGTTGACTGGGGCCCTGGCTTCCCGGGTGAGGCCCGAGTGGGTGCTCCACAGGGTGTTGTGACAAACACGTTCCAGCTCCTGGGCCACAAATGTGTGGACTAGCACGGGGCACCATTAAGGAAAATCGTCTTCCCTCCTCTTCGCTGGTGGGTGATGTCCTCGCTCTAAAATGGTTCTGTTAGCATCAAGGTCCACGCGCCTACTGACTTATTCTTCCTTTGTGTGCCTTTATTTATAAACCCGAGATGTCCGATAAGGCGATTTTAATGTGGAATTTTTCTGCCACCGATGCCGTTGCAACTAGAATTATGGAAATCACTTAACTCATTTTTCTCTCATTTAAAAAATTAGACCGGGGACCTTTCCTTTTGGGAATATTAAAACTTAATTCTAGACTGTTTCGTTAATTCACGCCTCTTGCCGATGGGGGAGGGGGTGCTGCTCTCCACGCGAGCCGGGCAGGCCCCCCGTGTAATTGGAACCTTCACTCAATCTGTACCCGGCTCATCTGCGGGGAGGGGGGGGCGGGGGGGGGTGCTTTACAGGCTGGGTTTTCAATACGTGTGCCGATTGGAATTGACCATCAAGCGTAAAATGAGTATTATCCAGTCCTTGGAAGCCTTTCAATTGTGAATGTTCAAAATAATCTCGTCGAAATCTAAATCATGGTCTGCTTTCCCAAGGAGTCGGGCTTGGGGAGCACGTGCGGCTTCTGTCCCTTACTCGCTGCTGCCCCCACGTGCAGCCACAGGCAGACCCCTCCCCAGAAGGTCACACCTGGCTGCGCCACCACCCACAGCAGAATGTTCCAGGCCTCAGATTCCTCATCTGTTAAATGGGCCCCGGATGATCCCCAAGTCCCTCCACACGCCAGGATGTAGACCTTCCAGAGAGAATTTCTTTTAATTCCAGCAAAGCTGGATTTTCAAATTAGCCCTGCTCAGGGCACCTTTGTCGGAGCCTTTCTGTGGGTCGCAGGGATTGATGTGGGTCTAGAAATGGTCGTACAGATTTGCCCCCATGCCCGTGCACGCCGTGTTCATAAAGGATCCGAGACCATTAGAGAGGGTCTGAATTCCTGACCCTCCCGGCGTGGTGACTTCGGCCATTGGAAACGAGGAGCGGGGGCTGCAGAGGAAGGAGACGTGGCCAGCATGTTCTAGAAGCTTGCCAAGGGGGGCCAGGGTTTGGCTCCCACTGCATCTTTTGCTGAAAAGTCTTCCAAAATCTTTGAAAAGCAAAGTTCTGTGTTTTAAATTAACCTGGTGAGCCCTGACCTCAGACAAAAACACCTTCTGCCCAAGGGTGCCTGGGTGGCTCAGTTGGTCAAGCGTCTGACTCTTGATTCGGCTCAGGTCATGATGTCATGGTTCGTGAGATGGAGCCCTGCATCCGGCTCTGTGCCAACAGCGCGTAGCCTGCTCAGGACCTCCCTCCCTCTCTCTCACTCTCTCTCTGCGCATCCTCTCTCTCTCTCAAAATAAGTGAACAAACTCTAAAACAAAACCACAAAAACCTTGTGCCTATGCAGAAGAAAATTCCAAGACTCACAGCCACAACATGTTTCTCCAGGGATGACACGGCCACACTCATGTTTCACACTCACTCCCCCCGCCCCCCAGCCGCTGCCCATGGTGCATTTGCCACTCCTGCCCTTCTCCCGGCACAGAGGACTTGGACCTCACGCACAGCCGTGTTCAAGAGTTGCTCCACCCGTGGGAGCCCCGCACCCCGGCTCGTGGGCCCTTAGCGCAAACAGCAGAGAACCGGCCCCAGAGCCCCCGTGATCCCGCGGGGCTGGTTAGGCTCCTGGGTCTCACACTGGCCAGTGTCTTTGATCACTCACCGCAGACCCTTTCCTGCCCCTCCTCCTGGGAATCCGGTGGCAGCTGGTTTAGGACCCAAGCAGGGCGGTTCTTCACGTCCTGCAGCCGACTCGTGTTCACACAGGTCGCTCGAGTTCCAGTGGATTATTTTAACCATGTTTTGCTCACGTTTTCCAGCTCGTTCCTTGTGAGAGCAGCGGCTCCTTCCCCCAGCGTGGGAGCTGAGCTGGATGATGATAGGTGAGGACTCCGTCGCTCCCCCTTTCCCGTGGTTAAAGGTTCCTCATCGAGAATGTAACTGATTTTTCTGCAAAGTGATTTTTGTTTTTTGAGGACCCGGACCCACCTCTCCTTTTTCGTCCTTTCTGGGGCCTTAGAGGAGAATTGGTTCAGAGTGTTCTATTTTTTCTTTTTTTCTCTCTCTTTTTTTTTTAACTAATAAGATAAAGTCTGCTGGAATAAAAATTAAAAAGCAAAGCAAGAAAAATAAAAAGAATTTAAAAAATAACAAAAGCCAGAGGCCCAGCTCAGCGGCGAGTGGGCTTGTCACGTATTAATTTTTCATTGCTGTGGAGAGTTGTACATACATAATCACTTGATTGCAGTGGGAGTTAGGGCGCTCCTCTGGTGTCATTTGCATAAATCTTGTTAAGTCAATGGCAGTTAATGAAGTACAAATGAGCCCGGAGAAGGTGACATGCAAATCGTGGGTGGCAGATGGGAGGTCTGTTTGGGGGACGGCAGCTGTGCGCTCTCCTTTCTTTCCTTCCCTTTGGCATCTTTTAATCTCTATATTATGGTACAGATACGCGGCCTCAGCCCTGGCCTCTCCCGTTCCCCACAGACCCTCGGCCGGAGCCGGGCCCGCACCTCCCCTCCCGCTCAGCCACGGGCACGGCCGTGTGTCTGAACTTCTCAGACCTCCGTCCGCGTGCCTGGCGTGTAACACACTGGAAAGATATGCACGTGTTTTACCTGGTGGGACGCACGAGCCCCTCACGGGGAGGCTCCATACTTGGAGAGCATGTTTGTCTCCTTCGAGACCCCAAAGCATCCCAAAGAGGGAGACATACTGTCTTTGCTCTGTCGTGCTTCTGTTTGGAGTCTGGCCTCCCCACCGTGAGACCGGCCACCAGTGTTTCCCAGCTTTGCTCTCCGTCCCGCGTGTGGGGTGGGTGTCCTCCATCAGTAACGAGACGCTCCGGAAGTAGACGGGGCGCCGCCAAGTCAGGCTGTGGCAGAGACGCCTCCCCATCGGTGCAGACCCCTCCTGCGGGCCCCCCCGCAGGCCTTTCTCAGTCATCACTAGGGTGTTCCCTTGCCCGCTGGCTCGTTTTTTGGAGCTTCAAGTGCCTGCAGGCCTTATCAGGAACTTTGAGATTTATGGGCAAAACACAGCATCTGCTTCCCTCTTTATGCAGCTTTTTTTTTTAATCTGTTTCATCAACTGGTTGATATTTTGAGAGAAAGTGGCCTCCGTGGACTCTGAAGAAAGGCCAGCGGAGGGGTGTGTGTGGCAGCAGGTGCTTGGTGGCCGCGGTGGTGCTCACGTAGGAGTCACTGGGCCGTTTGCTCCTGGCCCGCGAATTCGGCCGAGGCACCTTCTGGGTCCCGGGGCCTGCGAGGTCCTGCTGCAGGCCGAGGTCCGCACACGTCAGTGTGTGATGCCCCGGGGATACACCAGAGGCAGGCAGTGTCCTCAAAACACCTGCTTTTAAGTCTTAATTTTGACCTTGAACCTGGATGTCATGGTTGCCTCCAGAGTGGACAGTCAGCCAGGAGAGCGGACGCTTGTCAGCAGCCTCCTGAAGCCACCAGAAAACCCTTCCCAAGCCCTGAGTGGAAGCGCTGACCGGTGCAGAACTTTCCGGGAGTCCTCTGCCCACGGGCCCGTTTTAAGCAGGGCACAGTTTTGATTCTCAGCTGAGTAGAAGAAAGCAAGTGTCGATGAAGTGAAGGGCACCTCTGGAGTCCACCCCCTCGGCCGGCCCGCCGCAGGCCGCTGACCCACGCTGTCTGGCACCAGGGATCAGCACAAGGGGCTGGGTTGTGTGGGGCTGACG